GAACTTGAAACGGGCTGAATTTTGACCCCAAGCTGGATCTGAGTTTGGAATTCAATTTAACGTCATTTTTTGTAAGTCCTAACTGTAGGACTAAACATGCATCCAAGAACAAATTTGGGCCGTAATCTCAATTATAATTTACACTTGAAACTAAACCTGAATTTGGCCCCAAGTTGGCGTTTTTCTTTCTAATTCCTAACTGTAGGACTAATCCTGCATCCAAGTTCAAATTGGGGTCTCAATTTCAACCTGGAATTGAGTATGGACCTGAATTTTGATCCGAAGGTCGTGTCTTTTTGTAATTACTGGCTGTGGGACTAAATTTTCATCTAAGTTCAAAGTTGGGTCTTAATCTCAATCTCAATTTAAGCTACACCTGCAATTGAGCCTGAATTTTGACCCCACATTTGCGTATTTTCTATATTTTAACTGGGAGGTGAAACCAACATTTAAGTTTAAATTTGGGTCGTAATCTTAATTCTAATCTGAACTTGAAGTCCAAGTTTGGGTCTCAATTTCATTCTCACATTTAACCAGGACTCAAAACTGGACCTGACTTTTGACTCTAAGTTGGAATCTTTTCTAATTCCACTGTAAGACTAAACCTGCATCTAATTCGAAATTTGGGTCCTTAATCTTAATCCAAATTTTAGTCTTCACGTGAAACTGTGCTTGAATTGTGATCCCAAGTGGGCGTCATTTTTTCTAATTCCTAACTATGGGACTAAACCTGCATTTAATTCAAAATTTGATCCATAATCTCAATTCCAAGTTTAATCTGCACTTGAAACTGGACATGAATTTTGACCACAATTTGGCGCCTTTCTTTCTAATTTATAACTGTGGGACTAATCCTGCTATCTAAGTACAAGTTTGGGTCTCAATTTCAATCTCACCAATTTTAACCTAGACTTGAAACTGAGACTGAATTTTGATCCCAAGTTTGCGTCTTTCTTTCTAATTCTTAACTGGGACTGAACCTGCACCTAATTCAAAATTTGGGCTGTAATCTTAATCTCAATTTTTATTGTGAACGTGAAACTAAGCCTGAATTTTGACCCCAAGTTTATGTCTTTACCTCTAATTACAAACTGTGGTACTAATCTTGCATCTAAGTAAAAATTGGGTCGTAATCTTAATCTCAATTTTAATCTGAAACTGAAAGTGGTTGAATTTTGACTCTAAGTTGACGTCTATCTTTGTAATTCGTAACTGTGGCACTAAACTAGCATCGAAGTCTAAATTTGGATCGTAATCTTAATCTCAGTTTTAATCTCAATTTGCAACTTAATTTGAATTTTGACTCCAAGTTTGAATATTTTCTAATTCTTAACTGTAGGATTAAATGGAAGTGCAAAATTGGGTCGTAATCTCAATTTAAATTGAATTTTGACCCCAAGTTGGTGTTTTCTTTTGTAATTCCTAACTGTAGAACTGAACTTGGACGTAAGTCCAAATTTGTTGTCTCAATTTTAATCAGTACTTGAAGCTGGATTTGAGTTTGGATCCCAATTTGGCGTCATCTTTTGTAATTCCTAACTGTAGGACTAAACATACATCTAAGAACAATTTTGGGCTCGTAATCTCAATTATAATGTGCACTTGAAACCAAGTTGACGTGTTTCTTTCTAATTCCTAAGTGTGGGACTAAACCTGCATCCAAGTCCAAATTGGGGTCTCAATTTCAACCTGGCATTGAGTTTGGACCTGAATGTTGTACCCAAGGTGGTGTATTTTTTGTAATTCCTAGCTGTGGGACTAATTTTCATGTAAGTCCAAATTTGGGTTTTAATCTCAATCTCAATTTTAATCTGCACCTACAACTGAGCCTTAATTTTGGCCCCAAATTTGCGTCTTTTCTATTTTTGAACTGGGAGTTGAAATCAGCATGTATGTCCAAATTTGGTTCGTAATCTCAATCTCAATTCTAATCTGAATTTGAAACGGGCTGAATTTTGACACCCTGTTTTTTTTTGCAATTCCTAACTATGGAACTAAACCTGTATCTAAGTCCACATCTGGGACCTCCATTATCCTCGTGGGGCTATACTGGAGATGGCAATGGGACTAACGACCTACTGGAGGGTATTCCATAATCCCCAGACCCCCTGGTGGTACATTACCCGCAGTACTTCTTAGAAGAAGAGCATATCATCATTTTTTTTCTAATAAAAATGAATCATGAGACACCTGAAAGCTACACGTTTTGTAGAAGAAACTTGACCGGGGGGTCTGGGGGGTATGGAATACCCCCCAGCCATATAAACTTGTATGACGATTTCCGCAAAATTATATTAAAAGAGGGTTGGGTAAAGAGAAATCTGATAACCTTTTTTTTCTCTATAATTTTCAGTATCCTCGTGGTGGCGCTATACTGGAGATGGCAATGGGACTAACGTGCTACTTGAGGGTATTCCATAATCCCCAGACCCCTTGGTGGTACATTACCCGCAGTACTTCTTAGAAGAAGAGCGTATCATCATTTTTTTCCTAATAAAAATGAATTATGAGACACCTGAAGGCTACACGTTTTGTAGAAGAAACTTGACCGGGGGGTCTGGGGGGTATGAAATACCCCCCAGCCATATAATCTTGTATGATGATTTCCGCAAAATTATATTAAAAGAAGGTTGGGTAAAGAGAAATCTGATAACCTTTTCTCTATAATTTTCGGTATCCTCGTGGCGCTATACTGGAGATGGCAATGGGACTAACGTGCTACTTGAGGGTATTCCATCATCCCCAGACCCCTTGGTGGTACATTACCCGCAGTACTTCTTAGAAGAAGAGCGTATCATCATTTTTTTCCTAAAAATGAATCATCGAGACAACCTGAAGGCTACACGTTTTGTAGAAGAAAACTTGTCCTCGGGGTTTTGGGGGTTTGGAATATCCCCCAGACTCCATGGTGCTACATTCTTCGCAATACTCCTTAAAAGGACGTGATATGATCATTTAAAAAAAAATCATGAGGCTCCTCAGGGCTAAACGGTTTTTAGATAAAAACGTTATTTATTTATTAATTAATTAATTTATTTATTTATTATCCCTCTCTTGTTTTGGCAGATTTCTGCAGGTTAAACGTTTGGGCGAAGAAAATAAGGGGAGGTTTGGGGGGTATGGAATACGCCCAGAAAAGTAAACTGCGATGACCACTTCTGCAAAATTATATTACAAACGGGTTGGGAAAAGAGAAATCTAATACCCTTTTCCTATAACCTGTAATGCTTACGTGGTGCTTTACTGGACATGGCAATGGAAGTAACGTGTATTCCATACCCCCTAGCTCCCCGATACTACATTATCCTCAGTACCTTTTAGGAGAAGGGGATATGATCATTTTTCCGCAACAACCATCATAACACTTCTCAATAAGAATAAAAGTTTTGTGTAAGACAATGCTACCAGGGGGCCTGGGGGGTATGGAATACCTTCCAGCCCTAGGTACCCCCAGCAAAGTAAGATTTGAGAACCCGTTTCCTATATAACCATCAGAAGTAACGTGTAATGGTGGTACCCCACAGAACTACAATATACCGAGTACTTCTTAAAAAAATCATCCGACTCCCAAGGCTAAACTTTTTTTGGAAGAAAATGTTACCGGGGTGTCTGGGGGGTATGGAAAACCCTCCAGCCACACACCTAGCAAAGTAAGGTTCGAGAACCCTTTCCATATACCTATACACGTTAGTACCCTCATGGTGCTTTTTTAGAAATGGCAAAGGAACTAACGTGTACTGGGGAGTATTCCATACCACCAGAGCTACATCCTCAGCAGTGCTTCTTAGGAGAAGGTAATATGATCATTTTTTCAGGAAAATCATTTCCCTAGTAGTGAAGTAAAAAAAATTGTTAGTCAGAACCATTAATTAATCGCCTCCAATTAAAAAAGTAAAATTGCATTCTTGAAGTGACAATTTTTTTAATTAAAAAATCCCAATCAAAAATTGTGCTTTTTTAAGCAATGAAACTTTTGCTGGACAGTCAAAATGAAGTAATAAAAGTTTGTAACTTAAGAGAATAATTTCTTTTAATATAAAAGAACGGTTCAACAAATGTTAATAGTTAATGAAAGTGATAGAAATTTGGGACAGGTGACCCTATTTAGCTTTCAAGGTTAGTTTACCAAAAAAAGCGAAGACACCTGTTCTCGTTTTAATTACGTTGAACTCAAATCACTAATTAATCAGAGGAAGTTCAAAGCGAGTGAAAAAAAAATTAAAGACGTTACGTTGTGTAACGAACAAAACGAGAATGCAAAACAAGGGTGGCACCTAAGTTTTTTCTGGGCGTAATCTCGCGTAAAAAATTTACGGAAAAAAAAGCGAAGGGGTTAAGACCGCGGCCAGAAAAACTTCTAACGTACACAGATTTTTTTTCACCTTTTCAAAGACGAGCGGGATTTTTTCACACACGTCTTTTGCATACGTTATGTGCATCCCATATATTTAAGGGCTTAATGAATATACACCATAATCCGTTCTTTATTTCTGGGTGCGTTCAAAAGGAAGGGTCCGGTAATTACCTATGCGATGCATTTTTTTTCGCTTACCCCCTTTTTTCCCTCTCGCGCCGCACAGCCATCTTCGGGAGGAAATTTAACAATTAACGAGCTTTTTAATGCCCGAATGTGATGATAAACGCTCAAATTTGGTTACGTGCGCATAAATAAATAAAATTATAAAAATTATAATAGAGGCCCCTTCTTTGTGTAAAGCCACTCCATGAGATAAAAGGTAAAACTAAAGAGGCATCTGCATACTGTAAGGGATGAAAGGGCCTCGTATGCAAATATTAACGTGACAAAAATGCCTATTAAGAAATAGACAAATGGAAGATAGATGATTCGGATTCATTTGAATCGTCGTGAGAACCGCTGCGGGTTGAAAACGCAGATAAAAAAATTAGAGGGTCGCTTTTTGTCTATGTTCCTACAGGTCGGGGTTTCGAAAAAAGCTTCGGCGAGGTGTATGTAAATTGTGTCTTCGACGGTTACTTACCTCTTGGTTCCACATGTAGTGGGAAACGGCCGGATCCATGTGCTCGGCCATCACGCTCATCCAGTGGACGAGGCCCTGGGCCCCCTGGCCCCCTACCCCCCCAGTTTGGGGACCGGCGGGACTGCCACCTGTTTGCGTTCCGTCCCAGCCGAAAGCTTTCTGTAAGAAAAACACGGATTAGCATATACGCCCGTTTGGACCTCGGGGGTACCTGGTCAAAGTTGTCTTTGTGGAAAAGCATGTTTTTGTACAGGCTCGCTTTGTCGTCGCCATTCGACGAGAGCACCGCCTTCGCGAGCAAAGTCTTGTAAAACTGCGCCGGAAGCAGCAGTTGATTGTTATTGTAAGTGTCTAATTTGTTCGCGAATGACGCACATTTTAGAGCCGCCTCGTTTCTGTACGCACTCAAATTGGCGACACCCTCGCCGTGGGCAAACGAGGAGGAATCGCTCGAGTCCGAACTGTCCGAGACCGCATCCTGGATCGCCCTAATCGCGGTCATTATCAACTAATTGCTATCACTGAGTATTAGGAACTTTGGTTACCGTCGGCATACTTTTACATATTTCAATTGTGCGTGGCGAAATATGCGTGTGCGTCACTTACGTATGCAAAAATATGAAATTAGTAATTAGGCTCATTAGGCGACTGGAGGGGAAGGAACCCCCCCTCCGTCGGTCGCGCCGCGTGGCACGCGCGGAAGATGCACTTAATTTAGTAGTATGTATGAGAGGGTTAATTAGCGCGTTCGTCAAAGAACGAGAGGGCGAATCGCGCATATCAGGGAAGTCAGCCGGAAGACACGGCGGACGTGGAGCTAAGAAGCGCACAGATGCACTTAGTACACGGGCTTACCGCAGACTGAGAAGACGGCGCCACCAGAACTGGGTTACTGAAATAAGAAAAAGAAGTGCACCGAGGAAAAAATGCTAAAAAAATGTATGTACATACACGCGGAAGACAGTATAGAGCGCAAGAAGTTTTATATTGATTGGATATTTCGTCATGGTGCAAGTGCAGCGATACTTCCGGTCTCAAGACGCGCAGAAACTCGCCCCCGAAGTTTTGATTACTTTTCCCAACCGCCCTTCGCCGAAGGCAGTTTCGTACGAAATAATTGCGACCGACGCGAATTATCAATGAAACTTTTAAACGCGCGTAATCCAATTATAAATTACCGCCACCGTCACAATTAAAACTTCGACGCTCAACGGAGAAAAATCGCACCATCCGGTGTTACGCTAATTACATGTGCACAATTTTCATATCCCCTCTCAACTGTAAATTAATTAAGAAATTGCTTTAGTAAGTAAACTAGTTCTACGTAATTAGCCTACTTGGCCGACCCAAGGTCGCACTAATTTTAGATAATTAAAAATTCTGATTTGAGTTCAGCTTAATTTCATCGTCATCGACTTGCCAATTCATTAAATTAGTCCTATTAGCTAAGTCATTAATTCGCTGATTTAGTCACACATAAAAATTAATTAGTAATTTCTGGGATCCTGATGCAACCTTTCAAAAAGTCATTTGTACAGGATAATACGTCAACAGGCCTTTGCAAGTATTGAAACTTTCTTGTGTTTCTGTAGTCCTGACACCATAACTTGCAAAGGGAAATTTGTAATCAGAATCTTGGCACGTGGGAGAATAGCTGTCTTTGTGCATTTTTGAGTTTTTTTTTAAGAGAATAATTAGAATAATCAGAAAAATTGGAAAAATTAAAGATTCAGAAATATTAAAAAAATTGAAAAGATTTCTGAAAAATTAAAAAATCAAAAAAAAAGTTCAAAACTCGACAAAGTTCAAGAAAATGCCATAAGTTAAAAGAAATTCAAAGGATGTACATAACAATTCATAAAGAAAATTTTTAAAAAAATTATAAAATATATATGAAATATAAAACACAATTGGAAAAGATTCATAAAAATAAAAATAAAAAACTCGATTCCTAGCTACCTTCACAATAGACGACAAATTATCAAAAAATACAGAAAACTAAAAATTAAAATTCGGGAATAGTTGAAGAATTAGGAAAATCAAAAATTGTTCCCGAAAAAATCAAACATTAAAAAAATCAATGCAAAGGTTAAAAAAAATGTTAATTAATAGTCGCTTCAAAAAAAAACACGGAGATATTAGAAGACTCCGGAGAAATCACACCAAATATCCCCATAAAAATTTTCGGAAGCTTCGTAAGCACCCATTTTGGAGTCCTGGATCGTCACAAAATTTTAACATACCACACAGATCCCCCCGGTGGTGCGTTTGACCACGAAATGTTCAGGTCTTAAGGACTTTTTTTTCAAAAATTATAGTATAAATGCTAAGTTAAACATTTTGGGAAATATTAAACCGAGGGGTCTGGAATACCCCACACGAAAAGAGAGATTTGATGTTGATCGTAAAATCTTCTGTTGTGGGAGGTATGGTACGGGAGGGGGGGGGGGATGCCATATACCACTCTAGGTGGTGCGTTTTAGCTCGAAACGTTCACGTCTTATAGAATTTTTTTGTGAAGAAATATCTAGTACTGATTTTAAAACATACTTGCGTTCCTGCGAACCCGATATTACGATTTTCAGAATCGAACTAGGCACCAGAAGAATCTAGTCCATAAGACAGTGCGATCTTAATACAAAATCTTTAAATGTGAACTTATATTAGGAAAGAACAACGCGTGAGAAGATGGCCAGCAATAATTTCTCAAACCAATGCACGGTCCTGCGGTCATAATATAAAGCTGTTTTGAACGAGGCATTTGTTCCGGAAAATGATACAATGTGAAGGACCCTTTTCTGTAATCCTGATATAAAGTTCCTATTTGCAGAACAGAACACGTGCGAAACTATCTAGTGTTAATTTTCATCTCCCCAATACGTGAAATGGTGTTTTTTTTAACTAAATACTGAAAGGTTATTGCATTTCTGCGATCCTGATACTACAAACTCCAAAAGTGACCTTCACGTGAACCTAATCCGTCTAACTATAAATTATACATTTATATCAGGTGATAATACCCAAAAAGGCTTTACTTTAAAATAAATCTTGAAACCTACTTGCGTTTCTGGGATCCTGATTACAGTTTTTAAAAGAGATACCAAGTGAACCTAATGCGTAATGTTTAATTCTACATCTCATTACGTCTCTGAAATCCATACAACCAACTTTAAAGGACTCACCGTTATCAGGCGATCATGACACATGAAAAGGTTTTTTTTTAAAATAAATCTTGAATCCTCATATACTTAACATTTTTTAAACGAAAAATTTTATTTGAAGAACACAACAGTGGAAAACTGTCTAGTAATAATTTAAAAAACCTCCTTGGGTTTCTGTCATCCTGACACTACAACTTTTAAAAGAGATACTAGGTAAACCTAATGCGCAAAGCGCTGTCATTTAATTCTACATTTCGTTGCGCTTTTGAAATCATGGCGAGCAACTTTAACCCATCAGTGCTATCAGGCGATCATAATTGGCCAAAAATTAAATCTTGAAACGTTTCTGTGATCCTGGTGTAACATCGTTTAAAAGAAAAATTCTATTTGTAGATCTCAACAATTACGAAAGTGAAATAATTTTTAAACGTCCTTGCGTTCCTGCGACCCTGATTCTACAATCTTTAAAAGAGAGATACCAATCAACTTTAAAGAACACATGTGTATCAGGCGACCATAATAGTGAAATTGTGTCTTTTTGAATAAATCTGGCCCAGAACAAGAGAGGGATAATAATAAATAAATAAATAAACCTTCTTGCGTTTCAGCGATCCTGATCTAGCATTTTTTAAACGAGCTTGTGTGATAATATTTATTGGACTTTGTGATCTTGCGTCTTTAAAACAAAAATTTGCAGCACTAGGTGAGGAGAAGCTGAAATCGATCGATTACTTGTAGAGACCTCTCATCCCTGTCATTCTCCTAGCAACAATTTTGTACTGAGAAATTTGTGTCAGGCGAAATTAAAATTACACCTTCACGGTTTTAATTAAAATAAATATAAATTAATAATTTATACTGAAACACTTGGTGACAAAAAGATGACAACTAACTAATTTAGTTGCTTCATAATGTTAAAGAAAATATGGGAATTGTCATGATATAATTGCGAGTAATTACACAGAACTATTCTTTTTCTATGGCTAATTATTACATTTTAAGGAAAAGAACTCACTAATTACAGTTCTACAAACTAATTCATCATAATTCGATCTAAATCAATATCCCTAATTAATTACCTACTGCAAATTAGGTATAGGTATGGTTGTACTGTGAACAAGGTGCACTTGTAAGTTGTAAATGGAAATTATTAATAATCGACGTAAATTAACACCTACAATGTTTGCAAAAAGCTATAAAAGTTTGTGCATCGCCAATTACGTTAAATTAGCATAATAAAATAGTAACAAATATAGCGTAATTGAAGGTTTTGTGCGAAAATACAACTAACGAACAATAATGAAGCTCGCAGTGTCGCTTAATTGAAATTGTAATAATGAACTATTAGATCGAAATTAGCACACAATTCAAACTCCCGTTAATTACATAAATGCGATAGACTAGAAAATTCGACAAGGTTAAGCGAGGATATCGCATAAAGTTATGAGGAAAAAAATCACTTTGAGCTTTCCTTTGAACAAGTTTTTTTTTCGTGATTCGTATGAGACGAGCGTCTCAGTAGAAGTAATTAAACGAGAAATGCGGTTTAATTGTTTTTTGTAAATTTGGAAGACGAGAGAACTCCCTTAACCGCTACCGTTCCTTGACTTTGACGCGAAATTATTTTATTAAATAATGTTGGATGGCATCAACAAATTAAAATTTTCTCCACCGACTTCGATTAATTAATTAGTAGATGTTTTCCACTTCGGATTCGTAAATGCCAGTGTAAATTTGAACTATCGATGGAAATTACAATTAATTATTCTAATTATCGTGAAAAAATTCTACTGTGGCGATTAATTAAAAGGAATTTAGTACATCATTAATTGAGTTCAATTGTTCCAAGTCGTTTCGAATTGTTTCAAGTCGTTTTAAGACTTTTCAAGTCGTTTTTAGGGCGCTTTAAGACACTGCAAGGCGAGTGAAATCGCTTAAATCCATTCCCAAATTGGTACCAGCGGCTTCAAGTGGTTTCAATTCAAGTATCCTCAACCTGTTATAAACTGGCTATAGCTGTGCCAAAGTCGCCCCGATTTTCTTTGTCGTTTGTAAATGCTTCAGGTCGTTTCAAGCCGTTTACAAGTCGCTTTAGTCGTTTACAGGTTGTTTCAAGTCACTTAAAAAATTTCGTTATGATGAAAAACAATTGAGACTCAAAAAATTTTTTTTTGAGTCTCAATTATTTTTCATCATTTATTAAATAATCACTCAAACAAAAATGGAGTCCTTCATCAACAAAGCTACAATAAGCTAATTTCGTCACAGATCCCTTTTCCATAATTTGCCACCGTTTAGAGGAGAATTTAATTAAGCAGTATAAACGTAATTAAAATGTCAT